CTGTCCGGGTATTTCAACTCGGCACCCAAGCAAGCTCCGGCGCCAAAATTTCGCGAGTGGGTTCCCAGGCCAAGTGATACCCCAGACTACGGTACCAACTCTCAAGTACGTCTAGACCCCGCGCACGAGCGCTTCAAGGTTTTGGCGGGAAAGTCGCTAACTTGGGAACCAGAAAAGCCAGAAAGCTGAAATTTTGGGATTATGTTTTCAGCCCAAATAGAACTCAAAAATTTCAAATTCAGCTCCCGGGGGTGCGTGGTTCTCGCGTACGGACCCGTGAGAGTTCCTGGCGCGAAAATCGCTGACTCGAGAACCATGAAAGCTGGGAGGCTGAAACTTTCAGGAAATGTTTCCAACTCATCTATAACTTGAATTTATCAAATTCAGCCTCCCATTATGGGTGGTTGCACGTACGGCCCCGTGAAATTTTCTGGCTGGGATTTGGGTAACTCGGGAACTGAGAAAGCTGGGAACCTGGGATTTCGAGGGAATGTTCCCTGACCAAGCATAGCGTGGATAATTAACTTCCCCAATTCGAGGACCAGTATGTACAAGAGATTTCTAGCTAGAGGAATTTAGAGGGATCTTATTAGAGCACGAAACACTGCAAAAATGCATGATCGCACAGGCTCGCCCAGTGCGCGTCGCCAATGATTCACCATTTTGTCCCAGTTGCCCTTCTCTTTCATGTGGTATGCAAAAATGCTCAGTCTCGTGAATCGAGACCTCCTTATCATATAAAATGTGAAAGAAGTGATAAGCGCAACCCCAAACCTTGCGTCTGTTGGTACTATAGCTTGCTGCTGCTGGATGAATTCTGCAGCTTTCTGCCCTCCTCATCCGGTTATGCTGGTTTTTAAAATAAAAACTGCTTTATTTAGGTGTAAGACGCAAGGTTCACGTACGCATGTACGATTCATACGCACGGCTAGGACGCGTGTTACGAGCGAGAACCATTACACAAGCGCAATGATCTCACTGGAAGCAATGAAACGCTTTCGAAACTCATTCCTTACGAGAAACTGTGGTCCGCAAGCGGTAGCACGTATCACCAGCAATCATCCGCTGGCAAGACTGTCATAAGCACCCTCTTTTGTGAGTATTCCTAAGAAAGCTGGCAGCAAAATGGTTCATTACACGCACCAACACCAATTTACCATCGAAATAAATGGAAAAATTGTAGAAGAGCTGCTTTTCTCGATGGTGGAATCGCTCTATTGCACGAAAGCGTTAATTACCATTTAAAAAATACTGGTTTTTTTAATAGTTATTATTCACCAGTTCCAAGCAATCAAAATGCTGCTAAACAATTTTTGGCGAGAAACGTAGAAAGCTAACCAAGAGAGGGTTGCTACCACACATGTTGCCAAATGAATAACTTTTGGCTGCATATGCCTCTCGCAACGTAAATGAATTTAGTGAGTTAAAAATTCTAACTTCCTTATCAGAATTTCAAAAAAAGCTCAAAAATGCTATTTTCTATCGAAAGCGGACTCAGTGGTGAACTTACCATAACAGGGCTGTAACCGTTTTTTGACATTGGCTGTGGAAATGATGCTCGTGGAAGTTTTGGAACAGCAGGATTAGCCATAGCCGGAGAGTTACAGGCTTGCGAAAAGTTTTCAGCCGCGGGAGCAACAGCATAAGAATTCATTGTTTGCGCCGCAGCGTGTGGACAAAATTTCGCATGCTGACAGTTGGCCGGCCTAAACACAGAAAACTAAACTCTTTCCAAAAAAAAAAACTTCGAGTATTCAGGTTTAGCAGTTGTGATACTTGGAATACTTTGTTGTGTGTTAACGTTCTCATTTAAATGTGCTACAAACACAAGCAGTTTAAGAAAGACCGGATTTCTAACGAGGCCTCCTGTCAGACTTTTGGAGGAGAGAACTATTCTACGAGAAGTAACATTTTCATGTGGAGCTAATTAACCAATGGCGTGAAATCGACAGATGAGTCATCTTGCCAGGCTTGCAAGCAAGGAGTTTTGTGTGAGCAAGGACAGAAAAACAACAATTAACATCACTTCACAGTGGAGAAAAAGGACTTAGACGGAACAGTTCGAATGAGCGTGGCTGCATATTAATAAAGTCGGAGGGGAAATAGGAGGTAGGATGATGTCAATCGAAGACTCTGATGGACCTGGCATCCTTGAGCGCAGTAAGGTATCATTAACAGTCACAAATTTTTCTTTTCCGTGAGAGCAGGAAAGTGCTTGCAAGCTGTAACGGAAAGGACAGTGGAGCGGAGAAGTGCTTGGAATGCAGCTTCATGTCCACACAAACAATCAAAACTTCTGCAGTATGACTGGCTTTCAGGACTAGCAAGTCACTAAGATTTCGTGAACACGGCACTTGCTTTGCTTCGAAATTGCAAACATCGCATGTCAGTGTGTGCCATCAACAGCGACCAGTCCTGTTAACTCCAAAGAGATACACCTCCTGCAGATAGGCATTGCCTCCCAGAAAAATGCACATTCAGTAAACAAGTGGCGAGTACTGACTGGAAACGTGTTGCAGGGACACGTCTGGTGTAGGCTTGGTCAGTGCGTTTAAATGTATCTTGGAGCTTTGCTCCCCATCTCGGAGTTTGTTAGCGATACTGTGCTAAACACATATAATGAGATTTTGTCTCTTTCTCTATGTACGGGAATATTAACTCGTTTGGTTTTTGAAATGAACTTGAACTCTTGCTCTCAACAATCCATATCGGCATTTGCCGATACCTTAGTATCGATTAACCCACATTCAGCTATTGATTAGGTTAACATCGAATTAGCAAAATGATTATGCAGACAATATTTTTTTAATTTTTTTTGCTTTTCTCAAGATACTTCTCAAAATAAACAAATTAAACTAACCACGCTTGTAGCGGCTGCTGTGCCCAATATGGATTAAATTGGACGTTGTTTTCTGGAGGATATAGACGAAAATTTGCTTCAGCACTTCGGTATCCCAGCTCTGCTGGATGTGGTAAAACGTGTTCAAGAGAACAAGTCCGGGGATTTGGTTCCAGAGGATGACAGGCTAATGGCACTGCAAACGGATTCCCTCCAGCGATGCAGCCTGGAGCATGGCCATACGTCGGCCGAAAATTGGCAGGTAAAAAATTCGCATAGGGATTGTTGGGAAGAGCTCCCTGAAAATCAACATTAATATTTTGACATCGCTTTATATAAAGCGATAAATTGCGCCTATCAAGTTTTTCTTCCCACAGGGAGTGAATTTTCAATTTTTCTTTATGCAGAACTTCATAACTTTCCGTGTTGATATGCTCCTGACATGACCACACTGTACTGAAGGAGGAGGAGGAAGAGGGGAAAAGCAACAAAATCTTCTGCGAGGGGAGGAAAACAGCACAAAATGCAAAAATTTCACCTGAAGGATTGAAATTCACTACTAGAAATAAATTCACAAGAAATAATTTGAAATAACTTGTTTTTTAATGGAAGTGACTTAATACCATTTAAGAGATATTAAATCAGGCTCAGAAACTGATCGCTTTCACACCCGAATAAAAATGTGAAACTGGGAACGGAGCAACACCTGGATAAAAAAGAAAAAGGGCCAAACTTGATGTCAACTTTTCGAAACCTGAGCATCCACTGCTTGGTTTTTACGCAAAGCGAAGGAAGTGCCTTTCTGCTTCATACCTTATCATTAAACTGGTATGCAAACCGGGAAAATGCTGGAGAAGAGAATATTCGTGAGATTTGATTAGAGCTTGATAGGAACTTACGCAGAAGTTATAGTTGAATGAAGACAGCGACAGCATTTCCATTTTCTGTAGAACAGTAGCATATTGCAGTTGTAAAAGTAACAGAAGCTGGTCCTGTTCGAATTTCATCCTAAAATGACATAAGCAGTTCAGCCAAGAACACGCAGATACATGGGCAGGAGGCATTATTCTGAAATTTCAACTTTTCAGCTTCTATGATTTTCGAATTAATAATTTCCATACCAAAACCCTCGCGCGTTTGCACATGTAACCCAAGCGCACGTGAGGGGTAATTTCAAAGTTGGAGGATCGTAAGTGAACACGGAACTTCCTCCTATGATTTCAGCTTCCCAGTTCTTGTGGACACCAAGTTGTAAACTTTGGCGCCTAAATTTTCACCTATTCGCAAATGAGACTAGGACTGCGCGAAAACGATGTGCGCGGACAAGGGTCGTCTTCCTAAAATTTCAGCCCTCTAGCTTTGTGGTTCCCGAGCTATTAATTTTAGCTCCAAAATTTTCACTTGCTCGTATGTGAGAATGAAGCGTGCAAAAAGGCTGAATTTATACTTGGGATTTATAACATTCTGAAATTTCAGCTGTTTAGCTTACCCGGTTCCTGAATTATTAATTTTGGCACCGAAGACTTTGCGCGTCCCTAGCAAGATCCAGGTATGCGAGCGAGAAAGGGTGGAAGATTGAGTTTGTAGAGTCAAACGTGAGCGCGGACATTCTCCTAAAATTTCAGCTTCTTAGAATCTGTGCCTTCCGAGTTAATTTAGGCGTTAAAACTCTCAAAAAACTAGTGTATGTGAAACCTAGCGCATACGGATGCTCAATATGCGAGATCACACGCGAGTAGGGAACTTCTTAAAATTTCAGCTTTCTAGCTTCTCGGGTCTTCGAGTTATATCTTCAGATAAAATGCGTTGGGAACACACAAACAGATAGAGCCCAGACAATATGTGTTCTGTACAACTGTTGTACTGCAAAACGCATAAAAAGAATACTTCATCATTCCGAACATTTGCCGCTGATACTGTAAACTCTCTTTTTTCGTATGAAGCAATTCTCCCACATCTTGACTGGCTTTCTCAATTGCCGCTACTGCCTTCATCATGTGACTGCTCAGATCGTCATGCTCAGGTGAGTGACCGGTATCTTCCGCATCCGACTCGTCATCTTCATGCTGCTGATGACGGTTCGAGGTTACACCTTGTGGGGTATGTTTAATTCTTCCTCGGCAAATACCGTCACCGGCTTGCGCTGTGATAGATACCAGATACTCTTTATCAATTTCCAGCTAAAACAACAACAACGCGTTCGTCAAAATTAACAGTTGGGAAGGCAGGAAAAAGACCACGAAGTATAGCTATTGATATAACTGCGCTAGCTTTCGAAATAAAATGGCACACGTGTTGCCAAGGGTGTGACTTTTTTGAAAAAAATGATCGGTACTTCTTATAATGGGCGCCAGAAATCACGTGGTAAACATAGCATTGTTTTTTTTTTAGAACGAAGAAGGAAAACAAGAATGTGAGTATTGGAATCATGTCTGGGTTAACTAATTACAGAACAGCTCCAGACACAGTAAAACTGAAATAATGCGAGTTGGGCTGAAAGTGCAACGGTGTGCTTCGATGAAAAGAACGCTGATCAAAATACACGAATTACAGGAATCCGCCGTGAAAATATGAAATCATCTGAGTGAAGCACAACTTTTTCTGTTCTTTATCCTTTTCTTACAAAGACTGCCATCTTCGTGCATAACTTTTCGCTATTCAGTACAAATCCGTATCATCTTTCGGCCAGTTTTATGATACTCGACGAAATCTCGCAGTTGTCTGTTTAAATTTCTGCATTCCATTATGTCCTGATTTTTACCCCATGTGACGATTTGGGAGAGCCTGCCCTCCCTTGCGTTTACATTATTGAAAAGAAACGAAACGATATGCGGCACAGTGCTTAAATCATAACTTGGCTGTTATTTATCCAGATAGTAATCACCATTTGTTTCCTCCATATGCACCAGCCGCTGCTTGGAAAGCGAAATTTAAATGTTTTAAAGTCTATGAATGACAAATTTTTGGAAAAGCAAAGTGCTAAAAAAGAAGGCGACCTTAGAATTTTAAGAACAGTATTTCAACAAACTAACACTTTGTAATCCATCGGCGTGTTGACGTCTGATGGCGAACTTGAATGCTGCTACCGGTATGCT